TTTTAAGAAGAGACAGCCACTTGTCAGAAGCTCCCCCCATTTTCTCCCCCCCCCTACTGTGCATACTGGACGTTCTGTGCCCAGGTGCCAGGTAAGAGGTCCATGCCAGGGCACCTCCACCTTCCTGGCACCCCACAAGGATTCCAAACCAATGATTCACGCCGATGACCATCACGGTTTAGGAGCACTCCTTGCACTGTGATCCCTGGAAACAAACCACGGTGTACCCTTTGGGCAGCAGCGTCCTGTTCCCTTTGAGACGGGGCCAAATGCCGGAGTGAGGGAGAACAGTCTTCGGGAGAGGAATTTGCACGGCCGGGAATCTGGGCCAAGGAACCGAACGTCCTCCCGGCTCACCTGGGCTATGAACACGGCAGCTGCAGTGGGGCAGAATATCGAAGTTGGCTGTTGAAGAACCGTGTTTCCTGGTTGGGCCCCCCCCCGACTGAAGAGAAGCAGAAGGAGGGGCAGCTGGCCGAGCTCTAGGAGGAGGAGGAGGAAGAAGAAGAAGAAGAAGAAGAAGAAGAAGAAGAAGAAGAAGAAGAAGAAGAAGAAGAAGAAGAAGAAGAAGAAGAAGAAGAAGAAGAAGAAGAAGAAGAAGAAGAAGAAGAAGAAGAAGAAGAAGAAGAAGAAGAAGAAGAAGAAGATGATGATGATTGTGGGGTCCTTGGTGCTCTCTGAGCTTGGTGGTTTTCTTGCAGACATCTCATGACCCAACTAGGGAACAGCATCAGGGCTAGAAGGGAGGAGGAGGAGGAGGAGGAAGAAGAAGAAGAAGAGGAAGAGGAAGAGGAAGGAGGAGGAGGAGGACTGTGGGGTCCTTGGTGCTCTCTGTACTTGGTTGTTTTCTTGCAGACCTTTCTTGACCCAACTAGGTAGCACCATCAGTGCCGTCTGTTTGCCTGTAATTCACTGCAAAACCCTTGGTCAAGTGACCGGTGATAAGTCAAGGACTACCTTTAAATGCAACTGCTCAGCCTGTCCCCAGTCTGGTTAAACATGTTGTGTGTGAATGCAGCGACGGACGGATTGTGACGCCCTTTTTTTGTCAGCTCGGCTTTGCTGTAAAGCCGGGCTGTCCAAGCTCGGCCGCTTTAAGACTTGTGGACTTCGACTCCCATAATTCCCCAGCCAGTCACCTGATCAGAGTTCAGACGCTTGGCGGTCGCAGCATCCCAGGGTCACTCCATCCCCTTTTGCGACCTTCTGACAAGCAAAAGTCGACGGGGGAAGCCGGATCCTCTCACAACAACCGTGTTGCTATAAACTTCACAACCGCAGGGATCCACTTAAGAGCCGTGCGGGAAAAGTCGTAAAAACGGGGCAAAACAACCGTCTCGCTTAACAGCAGCAATTTGGGGCCCAGTGGCAGTCGTAAGTCGGGGACCGCCCGTCACACGCTCTTTGCGGTGCATGCTTTTCGACGTTCGGTCCACTTTTGTGGGTTTTGTTGTCGTCTGTTCCTTGTTATTAATTTTTTGGGTGGCGGAATTTGCATTTTGACTTTGTGAACCAGCTGAAAAAAAAATTAAAGTATAAGAAAGAAATGTGCCACGGTGCACGCGGTGCGAAGAGTTGCACCCCCTTTGCGTGCACACCTGTGCGCGTGTCCCTGCGCCCACCATCTGGGTTGGGCAGGCTTGCCCAACGGCGCCGTGGCGCGCAAGGGACACTTCTTGGGCCCAGTGCAGCAGCCGTGGCCCCTCATCCACGTTCAAACTGGCAGCCGTGGCTGCATGGCATCGCTCCGAGCCGGCCTCGCCCTCGCGCCGCACCTGTTGAACCGCCTCCGCACGAAGACAGCGGCCCCTCCCTTGGGGAGCAGCGGGGGGCCAACGCCTTCGCCTCTTGGCTTCCAGGAATTGCCTCGGCCTGAGTCATCCTTGCAGGGGTGTGTGTGTGTATGTGTGTGTGTGTGTATGTGCGGGACGCTTGGCTGGCAAACTGGGCCAAAGTGGACCAGGCGAAGCGGCTCCGTCGGGCTTCTGCTGGGCTCTAACCATTGGGCAGGACAACCACGGGACAACCTGAGACCTTCTCTGCATGGCTCTTAACATGGTATAGGGTTTCCTGCCCGAGCAGGGGGTTGGACTAGATGACCTCCAAGATCCCTTCCAACATCATCATCATCATCATTATTATTATTATTATTAGGTATAGGGTTTCCTGCCTGAGCAGTGGGTTGGACTAGATGACCTCCAAGGTCCCTTACAACTTTATTATTATTATTATTATTATTATTATTATTATTATTATTATTATTATTATTATTAGGTATAGGGTTTCCTGCCTGAGCAGGGGGTTGGACTAGATGATCTCCAAGGTCCCTTACAACTTTATTATTATTGTTGTTGTTGTTGTTATTATTATTATTATTATTACGTATAGGGTTTCCTGCCTGAGCAGGGGGTTGGACTAGATGATCTCCAAGGTCCCTTACAACATTATTATTATTATTATTATTATTATTATTATTATTATTATTATTATTATTATTATTAGGTATAGGGTTTCCTGCCTGAGCAGGGGTTGGACTAGATGACCTCCAAGGTCCCTTCCAACATTATTATTATTATTATTATTATTATTATTGTTGTTGTTGTTGTTGTTGTTGTTATTATTATTATTATTATTATTATTATTATTATTATTATTAGGTATAGGGTTTCCTGCCTGAGCAGGGGGTTGGACTAGATGATCTCCAAGGTCCCTTACAAGTTTATTATGATGTGCAGAGTTCCTACAGTGTGGTCAAAGAAGTTGGCACTGTTTGGGGGGGGGGCTTGAGGGGCAGCTGGGGCCCAGATGTTGAAGTCTTGGATGCAGTTGGTTCCTGGGAAGAAATAAAGGCCCTCAATTCTTATTTTCGGGGAGCAAATCTGCTGACAGGGCAAAAAAGGGAAAAATTTGCACCCAGCTCTTTTCCCATCTAAAGGAGATCCAGGAAGGGCAGTTTCAAGGAACAGGGCAAAGAAATTTAAAATGCATATTGTCTTGAGGCTCCCAAGGGCAATCAGGAAATAATAATAATAATAATAATAATAATAATAATAATAATAATAATAATAATAATAATAATAATAATAATAATAATAATAATAGTAGTAGTAGTAGTAGTAGTAGTAGTAGTAGTAGTAGTAGTAGTAATAGTAATAGTAATAATGCTTCCATCCTGCAACGAGATCTGCAATACCATCAAACATCCACATCTGCCTATCCCAGGTCCTTGGGAAGGACTCGATGGGTAGACAAAAATGCCAAATCCAGTCTGAACATCTGGCTGACTGTGCGATGATCCATAATAATAATAATAATAATAATGATGATGATGATGATGATGATGATGATAAATCTTATAATAATATTATAATAAGATAGTTACTATCTTATTATTATATTATTATAAGATTTATTATTATTATTATTATTATTATTATCTTATTATATAAGATATACTATCTGATAGTATATCTTATATAAGATGATGATGATGATGATGATGATGATGATGATGGATGATGATGATGATGATGATGTCTGCAATGAGACTTTGATAGAATCAGTAAAGAATCAAGACCATGTGAAGTGTTAATGCCATTTTATAAAAGAGGGAAGGATGAGAAACAATGGTTGGAAACTGATCAAAGAGAGAAGCAACCTGGAATTAAGGAGAAACTTCCTGACAGTTAGAACAATCAATCAGTGGAACTGCTTGCCACCAGATATCGTGGGCGCTCCATCACTGGAGATTTTTAAGAAGGGACTGGGCAGTCACCTGAGCAAATTCTGTCTTCCCTGTTTGCAGACATGTTCCATCTATTTCTAGATTATTTGCAAGCCATTTCGAAGCCAGGAGCAATTCAAATTCCAAGTGAAGCTGGGCAAACAATTTACATCATTCTTATCGCTGCGGTTATTATTTTAACGAAGAACCCAATAAAAGGACCGTGTCATCTTTAATCAGCTTTTGCTAAATCAGTGGCTGCTCTCCAACTGGGCCTCAGCTGCTAGCTAGCCCATTGGGGCCACAAGAGCAATTCCCATCATCCTGAGCAAAGGTTGAGGGGAATTACAGTCCAATCTATCCAGAAAATTCCTGGCTGGGCAAAGTGAATTAGCGGAAGAGATTTTTTTGCAAGCAAAATGACCAGCAAAGCTACATTCGCACGTGCAACTTAATCAAGGGAATCTATTTCTGGTTTGGCACATCGCCTTGAAGAGTTGAGGGGTGTGTGTCACAAACTCTGCACCATCAGGAAGCAAGCCAGGTTCACACACACACAGAAGTGACTCTGCCTTGGGAATGCAGCCACCGGGGTTTTTACCGATTGTGGTCGTAAATTGAGGACTCTCTGTAACCTAATTCTCTTTCTTCAACATCTCATTCCACCAGGTTTGGGAGGAAGGAAAGGAAGGAAAGGAAGGATGGGAGGAAGGAAAGGAGGGAGGAAAGAAAGGAAGGAAGGAAAGAAAGACAGAAAGACAGAAAGAAAAATAGAAAGAAAGAAAGACAGAAAGACAGAAAGCGAAGGAGGGAAGGAGGAAGGAAGAAAGAGCGAGGAAGGGAGGGAGGGTGGGTGGAAGGAAGGAAGGAAGGAAGGAAGGAAGGAAAGAAGAAAGAAAGAAAGAAAGAAAGAAAGGAAGGAAGGAAGGAAGGAAGGAAGGAAGGAAAGGAAGGATGGAAAAGAGGGAGGGAGGAAGGAAGGAAAGAAGGAAGGAAGGAAGGAAAGGAGGAAGGATGGGAGGGAGGGAGGAAGAAAGGAAAGGAAGGATGGAAGGGAGGGAGGGAGGGAGGAAGGAAGGAAAGGAAGGAAGGAAAGGAGGAAGGAAGGAAAGAAAGAAAGAAAGAAAGGGAGGAGGGAAGGAGGAAGGAAGAAAAAGGGAGGGAGGGTGGAAGGAAGGGAGAGATAAAGAAAAAGAAAGGGAGGGAGGAAGGAAGGAAGGAAGAAGGAAGGAAAAAAGGGACGGGGAGAGAGAGAGAGGGAGGAAGGAAGGGGGGGAAAAGGTCCAGATCAGAAGCCGATGCTGCCCCGAGCGAGGCAATATCCCAGTTTATTTTGGTTTCCGAAAAAGGCCATCATCCCGGTGTAGGTCTGAATGCAGATGGGCTCGCTCACCAAAGCCACCCGGGGACTCTGGCCTGGCGCAGGCTCCATTCTTTGGGCGTTCTGCACGGCTTGAACCAGCTGAGCCTCGAAGGTGGAAACCTGCAGATAAACAAGAGCAGCCATAAAGTGATCGATAATTCCCCCCCCCTTCCTTGCGATATTTCCCCGACAGGCTTAATTGTCATATTTTAAATTGTGGTTTTTATCGGAGCTTAAAAATGCAATGTAAAAACCAACACTGACTGAAAGATATATCAGAAAGAAACAATGCAGAGAGGGGGGAAAAGGTTAAGAGGAAAAATATAAAGAAATGGTTGTTTTAGAGAATTGGATAAGATGAGCAATCTCTTCTTAAAAGGCTTTTAAGAAGAGACAGCCACTTGTCTGAAGTGGTCTAAGGTCTCCTGCTTGAGCTGGGGGTTGGACTAGAAGACCTCTGAGATCCCTTCCACCTCTGCTATTCTGTTAGTCTGTCCTCCTTCCCTCCTCCCTCCTTTCCTTTCCTTCTTTCCTTCTTTTCTCCCTCCCTCCTTCCTCCCTCCCTCCCTCCTTTCCTTCCTTCCTTCCTTCCTTTCTTCCTTCCTTCCAAGAAGGCTTTTAAGAAGACACACCCACTTGTCTGAAGTGGTCTAGGGTCGCCTGCTGGAGCTGGGGGTTGGACTAGATGACCTCCAAGGTCCCTTCCACCTCTGCTATTCTGTTAGTCTGTCCTCCTTCCCTCCTCCTTCCTTTCCTTTCCTTCTTTCCTTCTTTTCTCCCTCCCTCCCTCCCTCCTTCCTCCCTCCCTCCTTCCT